ACTGTTTCTGTCCCCTCCTGGTCTTCCCCCATGCGCAGACTGGTAATATTTTTTTTCAACCGATTGTCTTTTTATTGAAGATTGAGATGTGATGTTCACATTTCTTGACATAGAAGAATTTTATTCTCTTTCTCTCTCTTTTTTTTTCCCTTCTACTTTATGACTTTACTCTTATTTATACTGTATTTTTAAAATGCATTTGTATACATTGTCAAGGAGTCTTAAAGGTTCTGGTTTCATTTTATTTTTTTCTCTTGAACAATCAACAGTTTTAAATGAAATACTTCTGATTTTAAAAAATATTTTAAATAAAACAGGACGTGGTCGTCTTGCAACACCTCATGGAAGGGCGTAATTAATTTTTCAGTCATGTCATAGGAGTGATGGTGAAAATTACCAGTAAATGTCAAAAATCTTTTACATTTGCTTGCCGAAATTTTTCATTTCTGCAAGAAAATCAGGTTTAACAAGCAGAGTGTAATCTGGATGCCCTGTCTATATTCTCTATTAGAAGAGAAAACTCTTCTTTTTGAATGTTAACTTGATCATCCACAGTTCAAATCATGATACTTTTAGCCATTCAGGTTCTTCTGGGTGGATTTTCTATTGCTGGGACTTGCAATCCAGCTTGTATCAGAAAAAAAATCTAGGAGCAAATAAAACCTTAGGAAAAAATATTGTTGCTATGCTTCTTTGATTCTCTTAATAACTACTTGAATCAGTATAAATAGTATTAAAAATTACTTTTTTAACTATCAGATTATTAGGTGTTCACATTGTTTGTTGCAAAATGTGAATCCATGAATTTAGATCATTGTAAGTCATTCAGAAATAGACTAGAATACCGAATGCCAACTTTTTCATGGATATAAAATTTCAAATGTTTAATTTAACAGCAGCAGTATGCGATGTTCGTCTTCCCACATTGATCCTTATTTGTGTGATTATCATTTTAAAGACAAGATCATAAGGTATAACAAATACAAATATTCCAGTAGAAACACCAAAGGCTGTGTAATCTGTCCAATCCACAACCATTTGTGCAAAATTTCGCGAATCACCAACAGTAAATGATACTGTTGGACTTAATCACTATTAACTACACACTTCTAATGCAATCCCCGTAAACTTAAATAATTGTAGATAGGATTAGCCTGTGCTTTATAATTTCTATCTATGAATTTCCCAGTTAATTCATTTTTAAGTGCTTCAAATGGTCTAGAACTGTATGTCTAGAAATCTGGTCCCTAGAATATATACATAATACATGAAGAATAGTTGGTACTGGCTATATTTAGACCAACAGAAAATGTGGAAATGAAATGCAAATCAGTTTAATTAAAAAGCAGCCTGTCAGAGCAGAAGATGGCTTAAACAAGGTCCAAAATTATTTCTTAGAATCTAATGTTATTTAAGTTGTTGTTGTTAAATATTTATAGGCAGTGTAACACTGAAAATATCTCCAAAAGATTATAGTACGTACTTACACTTCCCCAGGCTCTTGTGGACTAATCACTTTCCTTCTTCCATCTGACTGAAGAAATGTGTCAAGTACAAGGTTTTCCAGGGTTTCAGCATAATCAGGATGGTTTGAAATGGTGTGACTTAAGCCCCTGCATACACAAGAGAGTCGAAAAGAGTTTTTCCTTCCTTTCTGCTTCTCGTAAAGTTCTGTGTAAACACAGTTCAGCTCCTAGTACAGAACATCATTCCTTTCTAAGTATAGATGATAAAAGCACAAGTTCTTGCAACTTAAATACTTTGAGGCCAGATTTTCCCACTTTTAATTCTGGAATAAAGGAAAAGCTTGGAGTGTTTTGTAATTAATGGTCCTGTCTATGTTTTACTTCCATGCTGGCACACTAACACTTTAGGATTAGCTTTATTCTCATAAGTTCCAGATGTGTAAGAAGAAATTTAAGAAATACAGAATAAATTGAAAGAAATTCCAAAGAAAATATATGTTTTCTGAGAGTATAAAGAGCATAAAATATCTTATCCATGCATTCCTTCGTCTCCTTCACAGTTGATAGACTATATAAAATACTCAAATGGACAGCATCTCTCTAAAAGATGCTGAGGATTTTTTTTTTTTTTAGAGGTATCAAGTTAATGAAAATGCATATTATTACTCAGCCAAAGGAAACACTAAAAATTGTAGCAAGTGAGTAGCATTATTATGACAGAAAGAAAAAGAGGAGGTATTCTTTGTAGAATCGCATTCATATCACATGAAACAGAGGATGCCATGCCTTTTCATCTACTCTTTTTTTTTTTCCCTGAGATTTCTTAATCTCTTTAATGAAGAGTCTTTTGTTCCTATTTTTGAAGGAGGTGAAGAAAAATGATGGCTTTGTTCTCTCCTTAAACATTACACAAATCTTAACATAGAAAACACTTCTAACTGATGTGATTTGCTCTCTGACATTCAGAAAAGAAAAGCTTTCTCCATTGGTATTATTCATTAATTAATGTAGATTTTAAAATACTCATTGAAAAGTTCTTATGCACTAGACAAAGAGAGCAGATGACATACAAAGATATGACACTACCCTTTGAACTACCCCTTGATATATTGAAATGTTCAAAAGCTGAAAAATTATAATGTCATTTTAAAATACTGAATTATGAGAAAGAAATACATTAAAACTGAACAGTTACACCTGTGTTATCCAAGCACATTTAAACTTATCTTTCTGAATGCATTGGTATCTGTTAATAAACAAGTGCGTGCTTGGAAAGTATCTTAAGTGCCTGACAGTCTATCAAATAGAGAATTTTGTAACTTTATCCTAAAATTGTTGTTTCTTCTTCTAATGAAGTAATAGTATAAAGTGTTTGTTACATATCAGACCTTAGATTAGCTTTAGGGTAACAAGCTCTGAAGCAACAGCCTGTGGATTTATGTATGTATGTATGTATGTATGTATATGCAATAAACCTACTGCAGCATAATTAAAAGCCTGATGGAAATTGAAAGATGAATACTATTTGGCTGGATATAATAGTTGGACATGAAGATGTTTGAGATCGTGGCATTAAGTGTGATAGGACTTGCTGCATCAAGTTGCATGACTTACAGAATCAAGTTTTATGCATATATATTTACATATGTGTGCTTGTGTGGGTTTGTATTTTTGTGATCAGTGTGACTGTAGTGAGATGTAAATGGTTTTTCAATAAATATTATGGTTGTAGAGGATATAGTTTTTAATGTGATATTATAATATATTTTATTCTTATCAGGATTAACTAACTTTCCTTAAAACATACTCCATGCAATATATGCTCCCTGTGGTCTCTTTAGGTTCTCCATATAGAGACAAGATCACTATAGCAATTCTTCAGCTGCAAGAGGAGGGCAAGCTCCACATGATGAAAGAGAAATGGTGGAGAGGCAATGGCTGCCCAGAGGAGGAAAGTAAAGAGGCCAGTGCTTTGGGAGTTCAAAATATTGGAGGAATCTTCATCGTGCTGGCAGCAGGATTGGTGCTTTCTGTCTTTGTGGCAGTGGGGGAGTTTTTGTACAAATCAAAAAAAAATGCCCAGTTGGAAAAGGTAACTATTGTCTTTTCCTATTTTATTTTATATTTATGGTCTATTTAAGTAATACTTTAAGCATTTGTTAGAAAAACGTAGGTGATGCTAACTGATTGTTATTGTATAGTTCAGTACTTGTATAACAAAGGATCACAGCAAAGTACCCAAAGTTTTACATTTACAGCTTTTAATTTGTTTTCAATGTGTTTAATTGTAGCCAGATTTCAGGACAAGTGACTATTTCTCCTCTTATTCAAGCCTGAAAAAAGACAGCTTTTTACTCCTGGAAGTTCACTGCAGTTAATTTTATGGATGAAGAAGAAATCCGAAACTGTAATGAGAAACAAATTAATCTTCTACAGATAATTCTGATTTTCAAAAAACAAACTGTCTGTAGCTCAAAGTCAAAATCTAAAAATGTCTCTATAAAAATGTTCTTTACAGAAGTTTATACTTGCAAAGTTGTCCTGGTAGCATCTGGAAAAGATTACATCAGAATGATTTTTTTTTTGTGGATTTCACTGCTGGTATGTTGTCCTGTAATTTAAAACTGACTCAGTTTTGAAAATTCTAGTGTTAATTTGTTTTGTACTTGCAATTTATAGAACCACAGTACTGTAATTGTGCAAACACTAGTAATATCTTGTGAAATTCTTCG